AATTATTTCTCATTAGAAAGGCTTCCAGTCAATTTTTGCCTGTAGAGGGTACAGTCTAAAGTTTTACGAATAAACCACTGAGAGGTGGGAGTAGAGCGAAAATTTTAACCACAGATATTTTGCGATGAACCCAATTTTGGACAATCAAAAATCTAGAAATATTAGTGTTTTTGGTATTTTATGTGGAAGTGATCCTCTCCTGAAAATAATGATTTGTTTACTAACACTGAGAAGTCCAAAGTTTGAGTCAGAATTTTTCATATCATAGTGTCATTCACGATGCAAAAAATAATGAAATAAAAAAATTTACTGTGAGTATATATACCATTTTCTTTAATCATGTTCTGTGAATTCTTTATCAGTATACAGACTTTCTTTCTTCAGAAGTTCGAACCATTGGTTATAGGTACCATTATTTTTTTCCGATTTTTTTAATTATTTTGATAGACTGTATGAAGCTATATACTGATGATAAAAGCTTCACTTTTTAATCCTTTACCGCCTTCGCATAACGGTTCGTGAAGAGTTACTTTTAAAACAACTATTGAAAAAGAGTATTGGCCTCTTCAGTAGGGCAATAATACGCTGGATCGATCAGGTGTGGGAAGGGTGTAACAACATGAAAAGTATTATTTTTTATCTTTTGTGAGTAGCTTGTTAATTTCACAAAAATACAATCTATTTTTTTTAATTCAACAATACATAAAGAGATTTTCTTTCTTTTTTTTGCAACATATGCGTTTCTGAAACAATTTTTTGTGTACATAACATCTGTTTTTCTCGAAGTAAAAATGTCGGTGTGGTTTGAATCTCTTCTTGTTCAACACTGACACTCATACTAAACATTTATATGACAACCAATGATGCTTATATCTATAAATAGTAGCAATGTTTTTACTTAATTAGGCATAAATATTAATAAGTATTACGTTTAGACGAGAATCTGTATATTATTTTTTCATGTCATTATCTCTCTATTACAATTCCAGTCTGCATTTTATGTCGTACAATCTCTTGTTTGACTAATTCATGTGAAAAGTTTTAAACGCATTCTATTCAATAGCAGCAACTATTGTCGATATTTATCGCACAACACATCATCATCAAGATATATATTTCTCACGGGTAAAAAACAATTAAAAAAAGAGGGCTCTTTTTATTAATAATCTCATAGTCGTCTCTTGTATTAATCGTATATCTTGGAGACAGAGCAAATATACAAAATATTTCGTTTTTGTCAATTGGTAATTGAGAAAATTCTCTATACGTAATGTGTAAGGAGTATTTTAAAATTATGGGTTCTGGGTTTTTTGCAATGTTTCTAAAAATGGCAACAATTCCAATTGCCATTGGGAGTAAAGAGTTAACAATGAATCACTGTGAAATTACAGGTTAAACAATCTTTCTGATATACTAAAAAATAAGTGTGTACTTGAGCGTTTTTTAATGATAGACAGTACTCATTAATAAGGTAATTGTTTAAGGCCTTCCCTCTCAAAAATCGACCTCAGCCTAGGTACATTCAGATCACATGAAATTTTCAGAATATGTTGGGGGCTGTAATGGAGAAGCTATGGTAAAATTTTCAGTCATATACTTTGACGCTTGATCGAGATATTCACCAAATAAGAGTAAAAATAGCTCGTCCGGAAACCCAAATTTCTGTCCAGGCTCATTCTATATATTTAATTTTTTTTTGTTTGCAAGAACATGTCAGAATGCAGGGCACCAGATAGCCCTTTTTTCTGAATTCTTACTTTTTAAGCAAAGAAAGTGCATCACAAGTTCAATGACTCCAAAACCCTCGAACAATGGTGCTCTAATTATACAACTGTTTGTATATATAATAAAAACAAAGCTTCATTAAAAAAAGAGCTCTTTGGTGCTCTGCGTTTTGATATGTTCTTTCAAACAAAAAAAAATTTTATGTTTAGAATGAGCCTAGACAGAGAAATTTGGATGCCCAATCGAAAAATAATGGGAGTGGGGATTTTTGCAATAACTCAAGAACGGAAATAGCCAGAGAGCTGCAGTTTTCATCGTTCGAAAGAGGAGATGAAGATGCATCGAATTGTATATTACATTTATTCCTAGAATATTGTTTGAAGTTTGTTTAGTCAATTTTCTAAGTGTGGAAAAATGGTTTCTTATCAAAAAGAAAACAGAAAAAAAAACTTGATTTTTACAGAAATTACCATTAAAATCACTTATAGCTTCGACTAATATACCTATAACTTCCGAATGATCAATTTTAAATATCTGAATGTTGTGCAGGTTTTTAGACTACCTTGTAATGGTTTGAATACAGACGTAACAATTAAGAATTCACTGTAAACACCTCACAGGATAGGTTTGCTTCCAAAGAATTCTATTGAAAACCTTAAATAAGTCATGTCAAAGAACTCTGTAATATACAATTCGATGCATCTTCATCTCCTCTTTCGCACGATGAAAACAGCAGCTTTCTAGCTGTTTCCATTCTTGAGTTATTGCAAAAATGCCCACACCCATTATTATTTTAAACAGGCTCAAGTTTTACACAAAAACACTTCTTATCGAAATTTTATTATTATGATATTAGTTGAAGTATGATCAAATAGCATAGACAAATAGAGCTTCGTTTTCTCTATCATTTCATAAAAAAAAGAAAACTTCTTTGAGATTACTATTCGGAAACAAGGTATCTCTGATAGAACTTTTCGATTGACCTAAGTATATTGTACTTTCGCATGTTTAAAAATGCAAAACTCTATCGAAGCATAAAAAAGTAGAAATAAGCAGAAAGCATAATGTTCATCTTGTAGCGAGTACTGACAATTTGTGTGCTTTAAAATTTATTAGATGCGTAAAGTAAATTAAAAATAATTTAATTTGAAGATACTCAAGACGATGTATATAAAATTTGTATATACTCGAAAACGATTGTATATGATGGTATTTCTCCGTATTGTATATGAAGAAATACGATTCTTTACGACAAAACTCGAAGGTCATAACCGGGCTCAGTAAACGACCACGTGTGCGTCTGTAAACGATCATATTTCTTTGCATATAATACGGAGCGATGTAATGCACCAAAATACGATGATTTATGGTTGTTGACGAGCGTGTTTGTTCGACCTGCGCATTTTTATAGTATTTTTGCATCATAATTTTATTTTGATCTTTTTTTTTAACATAAAGTTTAAGGATTTAAACTTAAGAATATATCCAAATAGCCCACATTTAATTTAGTTTTAAATTTAAAACGCACAATTTGAATAATTTTATTTTAATTTTTGCATTTAAAATTTTTTTCAATGTAAGTAACTATGCCTAGTTAATAATATTCAGAAGAAATTTCTTCAAAAAAATTAACATTTTTCAAAATTTATTTTGTTCAATATTGTTTAAAATAATTTTATATTCTATAATAAACGACTTTTTATTCATATGAAAAACTTGAAAAAACTTTCAATTTTATCAAATAACATCATAGAATGATTATGAACATGTAGAAGTTGATCTTTTGATCGTATGATTCAATTATCTAAACGGCAGTGAAATGATATATTGTATATATATTCGAATCTAATCTTCATCCCTACATATTTCAATTGAGATCAGTATATAAGACTACAATCTATCATGTGTACCAATGGTGACGTCCTTCCTTTTTCAATTTCAGGTCTTTTTCGGATGAGCATCATAGCGACACGATACATTTAGTTATTGTCTCAAAAAGGACTGATTCGAACACTGAGAATGCAATTTTGTGTTAATTTACCTATGCATCGTCATGGATGGATCACTTTTGATTAATGAACTAGTCTTATCATGTTTATGACGATCGTCAACAACATTATTAGGACGGATGTCCATGATAGATAGAAATCCGAACTAGTTCTGTTTTAGCGTGTTTTGAGATATAAAACTGGACAATTTGAGCCGATATGACTAGAAAAAAGACTAAACATTTAACTCGTCTATTGCTTACTTATGCACTAATGAATTTGACGAATGCAAGTTGAATGATCAATGTCATTTTGATGCGTCTATTTTAATTATGAAATGATGTAAGTTTTTTATCACGGTCAAAAAGAAAAAAACGTTCTATATTAACGTCTTATCGTGTTTGATAATAACTCATTGCATCTGTCGTTATAGTAACATATGAATTCTTTTTTTTTATAATTACAATAGAAACTTTTACTCTGTATTAAAAATGACGTTCATTCTAAGAAACAAACATACATGCATCAAGGGAAAAAAAAAGCAAAAGAATATGAGGAATGCTGAAATATTATATGCATTGCGTGTGAAAAATATTGTGCGTGTGCCGGAAATTACTCCTAGTGTCTACAGCGGCAAACATGAGAAGATGTTTTAGTTAACTAATCTTTTATTAATAAAGTCGTTCAGAAGAAAAAAAGAAAGAATTCCCAAAGAAATATTTTACAATTTATCATCTAGAAAGAAAATCTATTCTTATTTTCAATCTATATAAAATAATCTAATGATCTAACTCATAGGACTATGATACATTATAGAGGAAATATACAAAATATTGGCCATTATTATGCTTCCTTTCATATCTTCAATTCGTATGTTATAGTTGGATCTTATAATATAAATTACCTTACAACGAATTTATTTTTTACGAGTAAAATCCAATATTTCGAAAGTACGATCAGTTATTATAATAAAACTATAAAGTTTTATTCTGATTTTTATGAATAAATTTTTTTAAACATTTCAGAATTTAAAGATACAAAGTTGTTTTTAAATTTTCTTACAAAAAACACATGTTTTCGGGCAAGACTTTTAAATACATTAGCTAAGAGAACGACGCCAAGTGTGTACCACTTTAAATCAGTCGATCTTTTTTTTTTCTTTAATGTTCTGTTTATATAGTGGAAAAAAATAATCGGTCAACATTCATGCATACAAAAAAAAGAGTAACAGAAAGAAGAACATTTTACTTCGATTACAACTTCTATTTTATTCTCATTTCTCTTAAAATGTTTCGTTTTAAAACTGTGTCCTCGATATTATTTTCTGTGGCTGCAATACTCGTTTTTTTTGTTTTTATTCTTCACATTTTGGCTCCATCATATCAATCACCTAATAATATCGTTACTCATTCAAGTAAACGATTGAATCGTATACATTTTCCACGACTAGGTTGGGTTAAAGATAAAACAACATCTGTTTTTATACCAGCTGAATCTAGTCGACAAATGACTGAACCGTTAATAAATTGTCGTGAAAATCTAGTAACTATTGAACAATATCGTTCACGATCAGTAGTTCGTGGTGTTATTGTTCGTTTTCCATCATTAAAATCTGATTATTATTTTGTACAATTTCGTTGGTTTTATCGAAGTTGGATTGAATCAGAAATGTTTACACTTGATCGTTGGCGTACAGATATAATTATAATTATTGATGATAAATTTCCAAATACAATACGAAAATTATTAGAACATTTAGATTGTCATATAGAAAATCAACGAGTATCACGTCGACAAATATCACGATGTATACTTATTAATCATAAATTATTTTCACAACAATCAAAAACTCAACAACAATTTTATATTGATAAATATTCAATATTTAATCGTGTTAATGAACTTGATGATAATATTGATCGTTTATTTTCTATTTATGATTATATCAATCAGTTAAATAAAACTCAAACCAATTTTTATGATTTTTTAATGATAACAACTATGAATACATTTTTAACAACACAATTTGGAAAATATATTCCAATAAAATGTTCATTTCTTCTTGGTACAGCACCTGATTATTCAACATTCTATGGTAAATCAAATCAAATTAGTCAATTTATTCATATTCTTCTATATACATTAAAAGAATCTAATGGAACTCAAAGAAATTTATCAATTGATTTTTCATCAACAATAGAAAAATTAAAAACAAAATTTTTATTTCTTGAAGGTCAAGTTGATATATCATGTGATTCAAAAAAAACTACATATCGAACATCTATATATCATTTAAAATGTTATGCACATTCAACAAGTTTATTTTCAGAAAGAATGTTTCGTGAAAAAGCATATGATGGTTATGAAAAAGAACCATTTAATATTTATATAGCACGTGAATATGCAACATTAATGGCTCTTCAATCAAAAGTCATGTCACTTGATGATTTACACATATTAGCTGTTAATGTAACACGTCGAGAAGTTTATACATAAATTAATACATAGAATAGAAATTGTGAATTTTTTTTTTCTTTGTATAGTATTGTTTTATTAGTGCAAGAGTATGTGAATGAATTTTGTATTTTTTTTAAAAAAAAAACCAAATCTAAAATATTTTAGTAAAAAAAAGAAAATTTTATTATTAAATATTCAAACATTTCATAAACAGAAAAAGAGAAATAGAAGATATCATAATTTAAAAATATCTATACAATAACAATCATCATTGATATCATGTGAAATTTATTCTGTATCATTTAGTGTTTTGAAATTTGTATTCTTCATAACATCGTCATCTAAGGCTGTGTAATTGTTACTATGATCAGATACTAAAACTTGATTAAAAAATAAGGATTTTATTAGCTGTGATATTAGATTTAAAATGAATTTAACCATAAGTTAGTTTCATGATTTTTAGAATATACTAAAAAAAACTTCAGCTTGAAAAGGAACTGTAGTCTTGAAATATTCAATTGTCAAAAAACGATCATATTTCATTTGCGGGATCTGTACATCAATTTTTTTTCATCGAAACTTAATCTTCTCAGGTTCTTAGGAGTGGAAAGTTATCGAGCAACGGGGTAATGGAAAATTCGTGGATTCGATTCTTTCGTCGAAAATAACTATTGCGACAAAATCTTGATTTGTTTTGTACAGTTTGATTAAAGCTTTTCAGGGTTGAGGAATCCGGATCTGTAATCAGTTTCTCGAAATTCTATACTCGATTTTTCGGTCAAATTTCCTCAACACCGAAAATCTTTGATCAAACTTTACAAAGAAAATCATGATTTTCTCCAAATGACTATTTTCAACAAAAGAATTAAATCCATGAATTTCCCGTTACTCGGCCACTAGTAATATGGTAGTTACTTCCCTCTCGTAAATTTTTTTATAATACGTTGAAAATGATAAGATCTATTTAAAAACAAAAGTTCAAATAAAAATTTCATAATAATTTGTAAAGATAGTTTTCGTATAAGAAAAATCTATAAAAACGAATATTTACCATCATTACTTAGTTTATGGTTTTTTTTAATGGTAATATTAAGATTAGTGTCAGATGTATCTTGATGATATCCATTTGTATGCACTAGTATTGGATTGTTGTCAAAACATAGCAAGACTAGTATGGACCATCTAAATGTTCAATACCATTATCAACATTACCATCATCATCTGATAATTTTCATTTTAATATTTGTTTTATTTCTTTATTAAGTTGATCATCAATAATAATATATTCATCTTTATTTGTTATTGTATTTGAATGTTTAAGCATTAATTTGATTTTCATATATTGTATAGATTTTGTATTTAAAATTTCATTAATATTATCAAATTTTTTATCACATAATAAAATTGTTCCATGAATTAATTTAAATCGATCAACTGTATTTTAGACATGTTTTCATCATTAATATAAACATCAGGTTTATATTAATGATGAAATATGTTCTATTTGATTATTCAATTTATGTTCGCTTTATGGTGATGCGTAACATCATTTTTCATTAGTCATTTACACAGTTACCGAATATCATTTTTCTTATTATCCCACTTAAGAGGATCCACTTCAAAAATCCAGCTTCGACAGGGTATCTGATGTACTTTTGCATAGATGTTGGGCTCATGAAAGTATATTAGTAAAAAAAATTCCACGCCTCGATACTCTATCATTTATGATATTTTCAAGAACTAAGCTGTGAAATAGGGCTTTTACGCATACAAATTTTTCGTCTAATACACTTCGAGTTGTTTTTATTTGAAAGAGAACTCATTGCTGCTTCGGATGAGGGAAAGAGTTTTTTTTTAATTTTTACTTTGTTGCATCTTTAAGATCACTGAAATCGAAAAAAAAGTCTGGAAAATCCAGGATTTCTCTAGCATTGACGATCACTTAGAAAATTCTTTTGTCTCATTTGAAAGATTATGCAAGTATCTATCGAGAAAAAAAATATACAGCTCTCTAGATTGAAGTATATTAAAAACAAAATTTGCTCGCAGTTCGATCATTACCGAAAAAGTCCATTTCGAGAAAAACGCAAAAGAATTTTTTTTCTATGTAGTCTTTCTATTATTACGTAAAAGTGAGGGTAAAACGTAAAAGAAAACAAGAGTTCCATAAGAAAAAAAAGTCAAACAAAAGTGAACAACAGAAGTTGCGAAAGCGTAGAGTGCACATTCCCGCCAATAATTGAAAATTAGTCATTATAATTCAATAATAGTATCAAGATTTGAAATTTTGACCACTTCTATGAGACAGTTTTTTTTATAGTCTCCTCCTTCCAGCTAATCTTGACATCCTCGTGCGGCTTCTAGTGAACAAGCACTTTTCAATTAATCATATAACTTTCTTAATTTGTTTTTATAGAAAAAGAGTTATTGATTATTCTTTTTGCAATAAATACGAATTACTGAAATGATCATTTTCGAAAAAAATGTGATTAGAAAAATAAAACTCATTTTTTATAATTCATAAAACATCATTGAATCAGACTATAAAAAATTATTTGCTCTTTTAAAATAAGAAAGATAAGAAATGTTCAAAGCAAATACTTAACAATTCAAATATCATTTATTTATCTTTACTCAATATGTATTATTATAGTTCAAATCTCTTAAAAAATAAAATATATAAATAAGCCTTCAATTTAATATGTAATATTCTGTTTCTCAGAAAACATCACCACAAAAACAAAAAAAAAAAACATAAACATCAACACCAATTTTTTTTTGTCTAAAACCACTACGATTATAAATCATTTTCACAGTTGAATAAAATCAATTCTATTCCGAAAAAACAAAGACACATTATTAAACAAATAATCGACGAATAATTGCCAAATAATAAAAAGTCATGTCTGAATCTATATAATGATACTCGCACAAATAAATTATATTGTATAATTATCTTTTCACATACACATAATAATAATAATGATTTATCGAGTTAAGAATCATTATCAATTATTAATCACGTTGAAAATAAAACAAAAAAAAAACAAAAAAGAAAAATCTTCTTTTAAAATTCCCATTGTGTTGCTTGTCGACTATTGTGACATGTTGCTTGTATACTTCCATTTTGTTCTGCTCGTAAATACATTCCATTTGATGCTTTAATAACAACACGAGAATGTGTTGAACATAATTCTAATGCAAATTTCGATGGTTCATATCCATTAACACTGATATTTAAATCATTTAAAACTTCCCAATAAAGTCCATCAGATCCTATTGAACAAAAAAAACAAAAAAAGAAAATAATATAAAAACTGAATTCTCTATTGATAATTTTTAATTTTCTAAACCTTTAAGATAAACAATTCCTTCATTATGTGTTCGAACATCTGGTTCTTCTAATGTAAATAATGTAAATAAAGATTTATTACATTCAAGTATACGTGATTGTTTATTTCGATAACCAATATGACCAAAATCACATTTAAATACACAAAATGGACGATTAATAAATTTTATTAAAAAATAAGCATCATTTGAACTTATTTGATCACTTACAACACGCATATGTCCAGTAGGATGTGGAATAATAAATTTTCCATTCGATGCTTGAAATGTTATACGTCCATTACCTGCTGATTCAATTTGAAAACTTGTTTCAAGAGATCTAAATTTAATTTAAAAACAAAATAAATAATCAATGATAATCATCATTATATAAATTAAATATTTTACTTTTTATCGGCTGTTGCTTGTACATTAAAACCTTCTATTTTCCAATATTTATTATCATATGTTCGTATATGATAAGCATGAAAATCATTATCATCATATTCAAGTTGAAATATACTACTATGATCACGTTCATATTGATTAGCTGATAAATCAATACCTTGTTTTGTTGAAACAAGTTTTCCATTAGGTGCAATTAAACATATTTGTAATTTACTTTCTTCTAAAAGAAATTGTTCATCTTTACCAACTATTTTATTTCTTGTCATTAATATTCCTAATGGACCAATAGCTGTTAAATAATATTGATCACAATCTTTAAATGCTAAACATCCTTTGTAAAGTTCAATTGTAAATAATGTCTCATTAGTTTGTTTTGTTGTTAATTTTCCATCTTTATGAACATAAAAACCATTACTTGATCTTATATAATAATGATCATTATGATATTCAACAGCAAGTATTGCATCACTACCCCATGGAATTATTTCATCAATATGAATTTCATCTTCATCTAATTTAGCATAACGTTTACGAAGAACATGTTTTAAATTAATCTAAAATAAAAGAAAAAAAACAAAAAAAATTGATTGAAAGAAAAAGAAAAAGAAGAAAAAAAACCAAGAATCGAATAGTTTACTTGTGGATGAACAGCTAAATGAGGTGACCACCATTCTGGTGTTTTACTAAAACAATGAAGTTGATCATTATCTCCACCGAAATACATACCATATGTAAGAGATTTAAATGCCCATTGACCATTTCGATTATATTCAAGTTGAAAATAATAATCATCATTTATTTCATTTGAATCACATTTTAAACGACCATATTTATCTGTAGATAAATAATGATTTAATGGTGATTGAAGATAAACACAATCATTTTGACAATTATAAATAATTGTCCATATTTGTTTCCGCTTTAGAGATGTACCAGCTTGAAAGAAAGTTTTTTAAATAATATTGAAAAAAAAAACAACAAATTTTAAAGATACTTACTTGCATTAATTTTACAACCAAATGTTTCTGATGTTAAATATTTTCCTTTAGAATTTCTTAAACCTAAATACCAATTAGATTTTTCTACTATTGTATTGTTCAATGAAACAGATGCATGATGTTGATAATGACTATTGTCATCTTTTATAGGTTTTTGATCATAATCATTTTGGTTAGTAGAAGATTTTTTTAGTACTGATTGTGATAGATGATCTATTGTTGATGGAATAAGTGATGGAGGTGATTTAACTAAAGGCTTTGGTCTAAATTAAAAATAAATATTAATGATCATGTTTTTTTATTTAAATAAAATGAAACCTGAGAGCTGAATGCATTATTGAATATTGTATTTAATCAATAATCATCTTGTTTAGCCAATATATATTGTCATATATCTATCTATTGAAAAATGACAAAACAGATTTCTCTTATTTGCTCTCTATTTTATTTCTTTCTCTCTTTCTTGCTTTGTTCGCTCCTCCCTCTTTTGTGAGCCTTTCTTAGTGTGAGTTCATCAACATTCTCATTTATTGTATTCGATGACAAGAGCAAAATTTCTTTATTCATTTTTTTTCCTTTCTTTCATTCGTATATGTGTGCATGACCGTTGAACGCAGTATCATAATTAGCAGACAAAAAAAAAAAGGAATAAATTTTGACAGTATTAGTTTTCGTTTTGATGAGTCATTGAATGGCAAAACAAATGATTTGAATTATTTGACCTTACAATTGTGATCGATCATCTCTTGTCAAAGAACGCAACCTTATAACTGTTCATTTATATTGATAGGGAAGAAAAAAATATATTATCAAGGCCAGAAAAAGAGCAACGAACGTGTCCGAGACTAAGAACAACCGATTGGTACTATAACCATCTGTGTCTCTTTTGTCACATATTGGCTTATTTCTTTTACAAACATACAAAGCTTGAATATGTGACTATTATGAAATAGCATATGATGCTTGTCATAGAGAACGATCAATGTAACATCCAGCTGATCCATTTCATAAAATGCACATGTAAAATAAATAAAATGAGAGTCGTAAAGTCATTGTTACATCATCATTTCAATCAAGATGTTTCGTCGATTAAAAATTGTGCGTTTAACTAAAAGGACGATATCGCATAAAACTACATTTCATTCTGCTTTTGATCTTCAAGGTTCATTCTAATTGAATTATATTTAGAATGAAAGATCATGAGTTCATAATCAATTTGATGCTAAAATTGAGGCATTTTAATTTGATCATAGTTGTGAACAGGATGTGTTTGCACGCTATGATAAATGGGCAGTTAATCATTGATACGAGTTAGCAATGTATGCATTCATTTGACAGAAAATGAATAAAATATGAAATGTGATTTAAAGTTATTCTGATAGCTCTTTGTTAACGCTACATATTTATAATACGAAGAATCATTCATTTTAAAATAATGTTTTGAATCTACTATAGATCGTATGCAAATCTTTTATTGTCTAAATGTTGAGTCTAAAATATTCATATACATTCTATTTTGTTGTTTAATTATTGTTTTAATTTTACTTCAAAAACAAAAAATTTCATACTCGACAAGGGCACAAAAAATTGAGTCGACTTATGTATGTTTTAAATCTTTTGTACGACTTTTTTTTCGGTCAAATTTTCACCTCCGGATTCCCTCAGACATTTGTAAAAAAAATGAATTTTAGTTAAAAAGTTATTGTGACAGCGGAAAGTAAGTTCTAAACTTGCAAAATGCCATTTGAACACAAAAAGACACATGATTAAATTTATTTTCCTATACATTCCCGAGGGGTCCAGAAATGAAAATTAAATCAGAAAAAATAGTTGCACAAAAAGTTTGAAACATACATAAGTTGACTTCATTTTTTGTGCCCATTTGGAATATGATATTTATTTGAAGTAAAATTAAAACAATAATTAAACAATAAATGAAATGTATACGAGTATTTTAGACTCAAAATTTAGACAACGAAAGATTTGCGTACGATCTAGTGGATTCAAAACATTATTTTAAAATGAATGATTCTTCGTATTATAAATATGTAGCGTTAACAAAGAGCTATCAGAATAACTTTAAATCACATTTCATCTTTTATTTATTTTCTGTCAAATGTATGCACACATTGCTAGCTAGTATCAATGACTGACTGCTCATTTATTATATTGTGAAGACAGATCCTCTTCACAACTGTGATTGAATCAAAATGCTTCGATTTTAACATCAAATTGATCATGAACTCATGATCTTTCATTCTAAATATAACTCAATCAGATTGAATCTTGAAATGAAAAGGGGTCGAAATGCGTTCTTATGCGCCCCTGTTCTTTGCTCTCAATTTTCAAGTATATGCCACAAAATGGATTAAATACGTATGTTTTAGCTATTAATAGATGTTCAGTACCTATGGATCACATTATAACTGTCCATGACATTTTTTTCTATTGAATGTTACTATGTTTAACGAGATAAAAATAGTATTGAATATAACGCAAAAAAAAACAATCAATTTAATGTATATATGAGTCGCTAACAACATCATCAAATTGGAAAAAAACTTTAAAAAACAAAGGAACATCATAAAGAAAAAGAAAAGAAATAATCGAAGTGTCTGCTCGCCATTGTATTGTTTCTGTTGGATGTGCACGTGTTGATTTCTACTAACTAGCAGAACCTTATAAAATGCATCTATGAATAAAAAATTGACTGGCAGCCACCTATACACTAGATTTCAATGTTCTTCTTTTTTGTTTTTTTTTAGAAAACTAATCAATTATAACGAATCATTGTCGTTGCCTAGTTGAATATTGTAAATCATGTCATCGATAACAGACAACGAACAAATAGGAAGTACGTGAGTTTATTTTATGTTGAACATAAGAAATTTCTTGAACTAATTATGCGTAATTGATGAACTTTTTTATTTTTTTTTTAAGGAGAAATAATGAATGGCGACTTTGACCGATATCTAAATGTAATCATTTTTGCAAATAAGTTTGCAATATAACAAACTATTAGATTTTATTAGGAAATGACTGGATTTCTCATTCAACAATCACAAACATCAATAAGTACAAAATCACGATCAAATACTTTCACAGTAAAGAGAAAAAAAAAATCTATTAATCGATATGATAATTTATGATTCAATCTTATGTATATAGGATATGTCTGAGTTACCTGTCAATAACGAACAATCAATAACCTATCAGATACCAATAGCAAGAGATTTGGTACATTTTAAAACTGTATTGAACTGGTTTAAATTTTATTTTATTTTTCATATAGGACGACATTTTGCGGGATACAGATTTAGCTTTGACAATGGTAAGGTCAATTGAAAAACTGCTATTTTACATTATTATAAGTTTATGATTTTTTTTTGTTATAGACACAGCCAAATGCACTGAGAAGGAAAAGCTTGTAATTAAATATTATTATTTACATGTAAATAGAGAGACTACTTGAAAAAATAAATTCTATTTCAGCATTGACCCAGGGATATTTAGTTGTCAACATACATTTCAAAGTGGTCTTGCTGGTGCTGGTTTTTTTGATCAGCCAAAATTCTGTGATAAATTGAAAGCTGAAATAAAAGAAACTTATTCAGTTGAAATTATCATAACTAAGACGAGAGATAAATTGAATCTGGACAACAGCATGTATATTATTGACTTTAAAAGTAATGATCAAGACAAAAATCATCAGGCACTAGAATCATTTCAAGATTTTCTTAAAACAATAGAGACAAAAGTTATCGATGACAAATCAGGTAATCAAATCATTATTTAAATTTTCTATTCAAATGCTTCTAGATAAAAATTCTTCTAACCTTACAATTACAATCTTAGAAAAGTTAAATATAAGCATATCTGAAAATTGTATTTCAATGAAACAGATGAGCGTAAGACTTTATTATATGTACAGAGATATCTCGAACAATAGGAGAAGGAGAAGATTTCTTCAATCTTGAAAAATTTTCGTTTTTCTCCAACGGAGTTACAACATTTTATTGTTTTTTTTTTGCTCATCAATTCTCAAAAAAAAAACATTCAACCTCCGCCCTCAAAATTCGATCAACTTTAGCAGAAATAATCCAATTGACCACTTGAGTCATCGTTCTCCTCCTCTTCCAATTCTAGCTGCCTCGGGACACATCTGTTTAAATAATATATGTTGATTCAAATTTGAAAAAAAGAAAACTTAGTCTACTGTACTATTGATTTTAATTCATCATAATGGTTTATTAAACACAAAATATTTATAATAATTTATTCTGACATAGGATCTTGGGTAAACTATCAAGATTGTACCCGAATTATTCAAGCATATAGTGATCAGAATGAATATCTTCATATCCTATGCAGTTATGAAACAATTGGCCCATTGATAACTTATTTTAATAAAGACAAATCAACCGTATTTCATGATTTATGTACTACTAATGATATACTTGACAAATTTATCAAAAATTTTATATTACTTGATATTTCTTTACCGTTTAGTTCTGATTTAACAATAGCTAATAAAAGTTATTTAGCACAAGATATTCTAAAACTAGTAGATCAAATACAATCGCAGAATATTTTAATAATACTTGAACAACGATGTATTCATTTGTTTGGTTTAAATGATATAGTCAAGGAAGTAGAAAAACAAATAGAAGAAATTAAGACAAAATATGAATCAAGTATGGTTAAACTTAGTTTAGAACCAAAACAGGTAAAGAATACATATATATATATATGTATTTTTTTTTTCGTAAGAAATCGAACGAAATATTTGTTTTATATAGATAAAATTTTTATTGGATATCTATTATAATGAACTGAAAGCACTTGAAACTAATTATAATGATACAACAATTATTGAAAATTTAAAAAATGGAGAATTTATAGCTTCAACTTATGTTCATGATAGAATAGAACCCGAAATAATAACATTAGCTTCATTATGTACACCAATTGATTTTGAAATTCAAGAAGAAGCTTTTGGTTTAATAGCACATAACGAATGTATTAATCTAAAAAATATCGGTCGTCAATACAAATGTCAAATTGATATACAAATGAAAACTACAAATAAGATTTGTGAAATACCCAAAGCTCTACCACAAGATCATATTTCAAATAAATTAACAGCAGCTGCCATCAAAATATATAAGAATGATCTAGCTAAACAAAAAGTAACAAAACTATAAATTATAAGAAAATTATAGTAGTTATTTGTTTATAAATTTATTTAGGTTGATCTTATTGTTATTTATTCGACATCAATGTATCTATGTGATAGTATTCTTAAACAAGCTGGACAATCAGTTAAAAATGAATA